CTGAGGAAATTAGAATAAGGTTGTTGACTTGTACCAATGTCAGTACCCCAGTTTTGATATTGTACTCTAGTGTTTCAAAATGCTACCATTGGAGGCAACCGAGCAAAGGGTATAGGGGATCTCTGTGTATTATTACAACTGCATGTACATTTACAGTTATGGTTATAAAACTTTCAGTCAAATAATTATCACAAAGAATTATATTCTTTACCTCATATAGATCTGTTTAGCAAAAGACAACTTTATGTTTAATATCAGATGGTACTTTAAAAGTATAGACTTTGAGCCTGGTTCACTGGGACTTGAATACCGGCTTTACCACTTTTTAATTGACCAAGTTACTTAACCTCTCATGGTTTTGTCTTTCTCATTAAATGAATGAGAATAATAATAGTAAGAGTAAGTATGCCATAGAGTTTAGAGCATGTAAATCACTTTTCCAGTGCTTGATATATCAGAAACACTGGAAAATATTAGCTACTGTTATCATCATCATCATCATCATTCTTATTAATTCTGTAATTAGAACTAGAAAGGAACTGTACATCATCTTTTCTCAGCCTCGATTCTGATTGGCTACTGGATATTTTGTCTTGTGTTTAATAAAGGGCACTTTGAATTTGCAATCTTTTTATTTAAAATAAGCTAAGGACAGTTTTATCATTTGGAGCTAAATGATCATTGCTAATGAATGAATTGTAGCAAATTATTGGAATTAATGACAGTAGATTTGAGATCAAATTGTTCTGCGTACAAAATTAGAGAAGAAACTGAAACTGAACAACATAATATCTGTACTCCAGAGTCATCTGCAACAATACACCTCTGAAATATAAAATTACTTTTAGTTGCAGACCTCCAGATTTTCTCCAGCAACAGAGTATATACATGTGATTTCCGTTTTTTCTATCACTAAAGTCCATGTCATGTAATGGGAAACGCACTGAATAGGGCAATTAGCAGTTCTGGACTTTAGATCCAGCTCTGTCATAGGCAGTGTGACCTCAGGCTTATATCTTTTACCTCCTCTAGCCACCTGTTCCCCTACGTGTAAATTGGGAGTTTGATTTAGATTAGTGATTCTCAAAGAATGGTCCCTGGACTAGCAGCACCAGCTTCACCCAGGGACTTGTTAGAAAAGTACATTCTCAAGCCCCCACTTCAGAGCTACCAGTCCAGAGACTCTGAGAGCAGGGTAGAGCAATCTCTGTTTTAACCCTCCTCCAGATTCTGATGCACCCTAAAGCTTGAGCATCACTGTTCTGAAGTACAGTCTAAATTTTAGATAGCTAGACCCAACCCCCAGAGTTTCCGATTCATAGGTCTGGGATAGAGCCTGATGATTTGCTTTTTTAAAGTTTTTAGGTGTTGCTGATGCCGCCAGTCAGGGACCACACTGAGATCTAGTAGGTTAGATCAGCTCTAAACGCCATTCTACCTCTATGAGTCTGCCATTACCATTGCTTTTACTATTCTGTCCCTTCATTTTTACTTTGACCCTCAACTTGATGAAACTGCCTCTGAGTTAACAGCATTGAAAGTATCTGACATATCCTACTTTGTGGAGGGTAATGGACAGAAAAATAAAGCTTTCCTAAATTCTTACAGCATATATTAATATGAAACACCTACAGTTTTTTGGCATTAAAAATGACCCTAGATGGTTTACTTAGTTATCCCATGTACTTAACTAGCTACAAAGAAAGTATCTTCAGGCACCAAGATTCAAGAATTAAGGTCTGATACCTAATTGCCATTGTTCTCTTGATCTGAAGAGCTCGAGCACCAATGTAAAAATAAAATTATGTTACATTAGAAGATGCTGCTTAATGAATAACACTAAAAAATCCAAATTACATCTTCATGATCCTTGTAATCCCACCTCTTCTTTTTCATGGTTTTCTAGATACTTGGGATGGGATAATGTTCTGTGAGGCATGATATCTGCTAAGAACATGACAAGCCTCTGCCTGCCAAACCTAATTATTTAGTTGGCTCATGTTTTCTTTTCTGAACTAGAGTTGTGAGTAAGATCTATTGCTTCTTGTTTTATCAGTAAAGCGATAATTTTCTAGTACTGAATATTCAAACAATATGAAAAAAAGAGCAAGAATCTAACATTTATTGAGTGCCTATTATGTGCCAGTCACTGTGCCACAAGTGTTACTTTTCTCGTCTGTTTAATCCTCACAGTAACTTTGTAAGGTAATATCATTAGTTTTGGTTTTTACATGAGGGAATAGACTCAGAAAGGTTCAGTAAGTGTTCAGGATCACACAGCTAATGGAGCGACAGTGTTTAGATTTAAGCTCATATTTGTTTGACAACGAAACCTTTGTAGGCAGAGTAGATTCTGATTAAATGTGTGTTGAATAAATAAAGGAATGATTATATCATATTATCTTTCTAGTGTTGGCTTTTAAACAATCAAGAATTATAAAGTTGAAAAGGCTCTTTAGGTTGTTGTCTAATCAGGTTTTTAATTATGTATATCCTTCAAAGATGTTTTTAATTTTACTAACTTATTTAACCCAACATATCTAAAATATTATCATTTCAACATGTAATCAATACCATTATTATTAATGAAAAAGTTTACATTCTGTTTTTTTGCTCTGTCTTTGAAATCCAGTGTATATTTTATACATTTACAGCACATCTCAATTTGGACTAGTCATAGTTCAAGTACTCAGTAGCCACTTGTGACTAGTGGCCTCTGTACTGACAGCACAGATCTAGTTAAGCCTCTTGTTGCTATAGATAAGGAAACTGAGGCCCTGGGATGAGAGGTGAATTACATCAAGATTCCAGCTTCAGAGGCAGGGTTAAAGCCTAGTATTTGCAACACTCTTTTAGTCGTACCAAGAATTCTTAACATACATGTGTACAGCCCTTACTTGACTACCTCCAAGGAAATGGCACACGTGACCTCTTTAATCAGAGTGATTGTTGAATAACTCATTATTTGTAACTGCTCAGACTTAATCTGGTTTTTCTTCCATGTAACATTCCTTCACATGTTTGAAGATAACCTGTGTCTTCTCTATCTCAAGCTCACTAGCCCCACTTTATTCAGCAACTTCTCAAGATCCATAGCACATAATAAGTATTTGTTAAAATGAAAGAAGGAAATAATAAATAAACATGACACCTAGACTTCTCACTTTCTTGTTTTCCTTCTTTGAGGGTGAAGCATCTGTGCTATGTTCTAGATACATGCTAGGACCATATTTCTAGAAGGAAATGAAGTGGTTTCCTTTGATATACTCTTGCACTGAAACAGTAGTCGCCTACAAAAAAATATTGTGTTTTATTTTCTGAAATAGAACAGTGCCCTCATCTTTGACATCTCAGATTTGCATCAGGTCACAACAAGCTAGAGTTGAACAGCAAACCTAGTGCATTTCTTCAGGGTTAAAGGCAAGACTTGGGCACTAGGGGATCAGCTCCAATTTAAGCAGGCTAAGTTTGTACTCTAATGTACAAAACTTGGGCTTACCTCAGCTAAAATGGAAGAAATAGCTGCCCAAAGCTAGTTTCTTTCACGCCCCGCTGGCAAGGTAGTAATTGCACAAAGACCTTTTTATTATAAGTTGATTTTCCTGAGAAATGAATTCAGAAAAATACTGTAAAGTGTTTATTTTTTGCTTGCCCTTTATTAACCCACATCTTAGGGCTTTCCCTAGAGAAAAACTGTTAGTAAATGAAACCTCTCAGACCCACACAGAAGCATTTTGCACCATGTCCCTGGCTGCGGAGGGAACAGGGACAGGAACAGGGACGGGACACTGCAAGTTGGTGCCATTTAAACAGGTCATCAGCCAGTATATGGAATTTTGCCTAAAGAGAAGAATTTAGGAATTTAAATAGGGAAAGCGATTGGGGTTGGTAGAATTACTGGTAAAGATCTGTATCTTAAATGGGAAATAATGTAGCCCTTTTATACTGGTAAAGAGGCCAAAGACCCAGGTTGAACTTAAAGATCGTTTCTGTTAATACATCTAGTTTTGATCTCTAAATAACAAAAGTCCTATAGTTCAACCTATAAAATCATGCCCTAGAAGCCGGGGCAAAACCTTCCTGTGATGCTCTTCTGGAATCAGGGCAGCATGCATAGAGTAAAGGGAGCTAGGAAATTAAAATGTGATTTTCACAGACATGATTCTGTCATAGCTCTTATTTTTTTTTATATGGAATACAAATACTGATATAGAGTGAAGATTTTCTATTTTGCATTTTTGTGCTCTTTGATACATTTATTGAGGTCAAATGAAATTTGATATAGTAGGATTTATTATGAAATGCTCTCTGAATACAACTCCATAATTACTGAGCTACATGGTAGTGCATAAAGCTGTAAAACTGCTTAGCCAGACAAGCAATTTATATGTTACATCGAGGTGTGTATGGCAAAGAATATTAGTTTAATTGGGAGCCAAGATGTAGTAACCTTAAATCTGAAGAGCTATATGTTTAACATAATGCAGTGAGGCTTTGAAATAAGATACCTAAACTGGGTAGCTACAGTGTTCGGAATATATAACAGTTAGACATTATTTTCTGACCAAGGATACTAAATACTATTTTCAAAATAAAACACAGAATGCAAAGCAGGTGAAAGGGCAAAACCTTTTAACATTGTACGTGTAAGAAGTAAACATTTCTCCTAGTTCTTGGTTTAAAAAAAAAGAGAAAAATAAAAGGAAAACAGTCAAGATAAAAGGAAACCGTTAATTACAATTCAGTGA